ATTAGAAAGCTTTGCAGTATCCTAGGAGACCACCTGCTGATCCTGAAATGTTTCCACAGCTAACTTAATCAGAAATAAATGGTGATCATTTGAGAATTAGTCATTGTGTATTGTACACACACTCTCTCATCCTTTAGCTATGTATGTGCATGTTGAATGGTCTTCCATCAAAATTTTGTTAATCCATGTCTTGTGTTACACTTGGATCTTTTAGGATCCAAATTTCAATTTCAAGTATCTTGTTTTAGGCTTCCACTCTTACTGTCATAGAACAAAGAGATTTCTCTAAGAGCCTTCTGTCTGCCTGAGATAAATGTAGCTTACCTTGAAATCAAGCATTTGTATTCAGCACTGACTCAAGGTCACTGGTTTCTTTGTGAGTTTCCTTTAGATCATTTGAACGGTGTAATTACAACTGTCAGAGACTCCATAGTAGTATGTAATTTGGGTTAGAGTACTATACACATCTTCGTCAAATGGCAACCTTACTCAGAGTGCCAAAAAGCTAAAAGGTTCAGCCGGTTTTCCACAGTTTGACTCTATATCTGTGCCATTCACCATGCTAAATAATGAGTTAAAGGACTTAATGATTTGATTCCTCACTGAGTTCCATCACCTGCTTTGGAGAATACAATTTTTGGTTTGGAGACTCAGCAGAGAAAATTATGGGTGGCATCCTTTCTCTCTCTCTCTCTCTCTCTCTCTCTCTCTCTCTTTCAATGCTCCTTCATTTGACATGAGCCAAGAGCAGTCACACCATGGCCTGTGCGATATCCGGAGCATATTGTTTGTCATGGCAGCAGTGTGAAGGGGGAGTACCCAGGGAAAATTACTCTCTACTGATGCTTTGTGGAGGATGTCTAAGCCATATGCAGACTTTGCCTCTTACTGACTCTGTCAGTGCATTACTAAGCATAACATGATAAACACACATCTCATTCATTCATCATTGCATACACTTTTCAGAAAACACTTTACATGCATGCCAGATTGCAAGCTGCATCTCTAAATTGTATTCCTATTTGTTTTTTTCTTAGTTGTTTGCCATGTGTTTTGCACGGGCCTACCAAGAGATACCTAAGTACCAGCACAGAGACCCTGTGACCTCTAAGGTGCTGTTTTGTGACCAGTGTCCACCCGGCACAGCTGTGAAACGCCACTGCAGCACTGAGGAACCAACTGTTTGTGCCCCCTGCCCAGAAAAACGCTTTGCAGAGCAGTGGCATTGGGGAGACAGCTGTCAACATTGTACGTCTGTCTGCAAAGAAAGGCAGATTGTACAAAGGGAATGTAACAGCACTCATGACAGGCTCTGTGAGTGTATACCTGGATATCACCTAGTGGTGGAGTTTTGTGTCCTTCACACTGCCTGCTCACCTGGTTTTGGTGTCATTGTGCAGGGTAAGTACACTTATTCTTTGTCAGCAATGTGCTAGCAGATTACACTGAAATACTTTAAAACTGAAATGCTTTACTTTACACTGAAATATTGAAATACCTTACTTTCTCAGATCACCTCAGTCCATTTTAGATATAATTATTAGGGAGCTAACAATTATATTTAATAATAAAAATAAATAATAAACTTGAGACTAAGCCAGTTAGTTGACTCTGAATTAAACCCATAATGCACCCATGATTTTTTTTTCTTGTTTTACCATTTTTAATCCAGTATTCTTCATGTACTATAACCTGTTTAAAGGTTAAAAAAAACACACACACAAAGTATCATACATTAGCAGTCGGTCAGGATTAGGGGGATTAGCTATCTGTCACATTCTCAAAAATTATGTTTAATTCCAGATGGTTTTTTTTCCTCATTACTGCACCAATGTTAGTGTATATTATTATAGTAACCAGTGAAGATGGTATAATTTTGGTTCTTATTAATTTCCAAATACAGTTTGGATTATGTTCCATTATTTGTAGGATTTTCATTAAAATATAAATAAAGGATTTTTTCCTTAGGCCTATCTCATTGTTACAGATGCATTTGAGGTTTTGTATATTTGTATATTCATATATTTTTGTTTTCAATATGTGATTTTAAGAAATGTTAACTAAAAAATATAGGTTGGGCAGTTCTACTTTCACCATAAAATGAACCTCTTTTGGAAACTCTATGAAGTCCTCTTCTTGGTTTATGTTGTTTGGGATTTTACAGATTAGCATTCCATTGACCATGCCTGTCAACCCTCCCGTTTTTCCCGGGATTCTCCCGTATTTTACCATTCTATCCCGCTATCATACCGTTTAAATATTTTCCCGTATTCTTAATCTTTCTATTAAAAAAAACAGTGTCTATTTACACTAAGTGCAAATAGCCCGCCTTATTGACAGAGGCCATTTACACTACCTATACACTACTATAAAAAACAATTGTTGGCTTCAGTGGCGTAGATGGTAAAGCGCTTTCCTTAGTCCTTTTGATGCGATCGAGCCGGGTTCGAATCCGCCTTTTACCGAACTTTTTTTTCTCCCTTTTCAAAACTCATATCACATCGGAAAGGCATTTATTTTCAATAAAAATGTAGGAAATAATCAAAAAGTTGAAAACAAAGTATCGGGTAGGGTTAGGATAGGTGTAGGGAGGGCTTTATTGTCCCAGTAAGGTGGCATCCATTAATGATTTGAATTAAAATTATAATTTAGCCTACACTCAATACGTTATTACTGCATACCGTTTTATAATGTAGTATAATACGGAGGTGCAGATAATTGCCACTATTTGCAATAAGTAGTATAAATAGCAGAAAATCCTGCTATTTTAACATAGTATAAATAGAATATATCGCTATCTGCACTTAGTTAAAATAGCATATTGTTAAAAATACTGCTATTTTCACTTAGTGTAAATAGAATCCATTGCTATTAGCACTTAGTGTAAATAGCATCCATCACTATTTGCACTTAGTGTAAATAGACTCTATCGCTAAGAGAATGAATTGGCATTTTTCAATAAGCCCTTCTGCTCTTTGTTTAGATCAAAGCCAAAAACGACCTTTATTTTTACGCAGAAAACACGCAGTTGTAAATGTGAACTGGTGGATCGACAAGAAGATAATGAATTATAAGACTCTAAAGATATACACTTAAGATATATTTATGTTACTAAATGAATATAATTGTTTGATAATGATTGTTTAAATTAATATAAATATAATATAATATAATATAAAAATTGTTACTTTTGACTCCGCCCCCCATACCCCGCCCCCCTTCCCGTATTTTGGTACCCAAATGTTGACAGGTATGCCATTGACCCCAGGTATTAATCTTTGGTCCTGCATCATTTGTGCTTATGGATATCAATGATATCTCAAATAATGAAGCTTAATAAAGATATGTATATTATTGCTATTCCAAGAAATCAAACATTTTTGAATTTTTACTTGATGAATAATAAGGATAATGGTGGATAATGAAATCACAATGACTCCTATAGGGTCACTTAACTTGTTCTAACTTGTGTATTTTCACAATATTTGCAATAGATAGCCTACCCTGATAGCACACGTACATCACAGAGACGTCTATCTGATGTCTGCATTTACATCTGCAAGACATATTTTTTAGAGTGTTTGCTAATCTGCGATACATCTATTGGACGTTTCCTATCAGATGTCAGATCAGATGTCAAATAAACGTATATTAGATGTCTTTAAGATCGTCTGCTAAATTAATAAATGTAAATGTAAATGTAAAAGATGATTATGAATATGATTTAAAATGTATGTAAAACAGACACCTGAAAGACATTCTTTGGACGGCTGAAAATAAGATCAACCTGTACCAGAATGACGGGAAGAAAAAAGTATGGAGAAGGCTTGGAACAGAAGAAGGCTCATGGTCCAAAGCAGTGGTCGGGAACCTATGGCTCCCCCGCCCCCCCCGGCTCTTTGACAAAAATCATGTGGCTCGCAGGATCTCTCACCCTTTACCAACAAATGATCTATTACAAAAACTATACATCACTAGAGATCAGCAATTCCTTTGTTGTAGAGACCACATAAGCTGATAAAATGTTTAAAATAATAATACATTTTTTGTACTGGCCAAAGTGCGCGTTCAGTGCTGTTCATGAGAGGCACGACAGCAAACCACAAACGTGTCTATGGTAACGTAGAGCTCCTGCACTCAGATTCGTAACGTTAGCTTGTTTGTGGTTATAGCGAAAATAAAGATTTTTTGAACAGCAGAAAAAGTGTAAAA